CCAATGGAACCTTACCTTCAATCCATCACACCAACAAGTCAGTTAAANCACCCATTAACCTTGCCTTTCTCTCCCCTGACATAACATCCTATACAAAACCCTGCTTCTGTCCCAGACCCACCCCCTCTCCATCTCCACTGATTTCCCATGTAGACTTCCCCCCCCCCTTCCCTGCTCTTACATAGCTGAGTTTATTTCCAACATCAGTCCAGTCTGCTTGCACCGGTTCTCACTGTCTCTTTGCTCGCGGATTTTCTTATTTTTCCTTCTACCCTGATGATGGAGGTGATACATTCCTCCGAAACGTCAGTTAACACCACATCTACATGGTGCCACATCCCAGAGGACTGCTTTCTTCAAGTCAGTTAAATGTTTTGCAAAGGTCAATAGATTGACCACTATCCTGCTGTTGGATCGACCTTGTGTGGTGTCAAATGCTCTTTGAATGAAGAATGAATTTAAGTGTATGTGCTCAAACGGTACAGTCTATCAGTGTGACCCAGTGTCTTCACATTTACCATAAAATGAACACATCTTAACTAATTACACAGTGTTATATCCCAGAAAACAGAAGAAGTCTTCGCCTTAATATGATACCTGACACAAAATGTGAAGGAACACATTTCCAAAAACGTTTACATTTAAAATTTAAACAGAAAACATATTTCTATTTCAGGAATATTAAATGTTAGTGGATATGATTTTTATAATGGTATAAAACTAGCACTACAGATTACTATATTTCAAATAGTTCATATTAGAATATTTTAGTAATGACAGTTCCAAGGATGAATATATTTCTGCAATACTATACCATATAAATAATCCAATTCAGAATCCAGAAGCCAGCCCTGTATTTAAATTTCCTAATTCCAGACAGACAATGGTAAACTATGTTGTTCCATTTTACGGGAGATCACATTTCATGCCCATACAACCATGTAAAATTATACTACATGGGAAGAACACTTATATGTATTCCCTGCATGGCATGTAGCTATGTACCAAACTACATGGCATCACATCCCACAGGATAGTAACCCTCTGACTTTAAACTTTATTTCATGCATGAAAAACAGTGCCCAACAAAATAGAACTTTTATTCCACAAGCAATGTTCATTAACCCGTTGCCGTGGTTCGTCGTGTATGCTTCGTCTGGGATTTAAATCGTCTGGGGGGGTTCGGCGTGTATGTTTCGTCCAGCTGCACACGTATGTTATAACGCCCATAATAATTGATGGTTTTGCTGTAGATTGTTAGATTTTTCACTGGCCTGTTGTCAGGAGGACTGTATTTATTGACACACGCGTTTAAGAGCGCTAAGTCGTTGTTACATATGCCTGTCTTGCAGCAACGTTCCTGTGGCTATTGCGAGCTGTTTCTGTTATGAATGATGTGTTTTCTTTGCTCTGAAGCTATAAACAGTAGAGATGTGATATGGCCTGGTGTTTATGATATCGTATTGCCCTGAGCTGGCTACACAAACACACTCAATTGGAATTCTTAGAAGAGGGATGTACAAAAATTTATGCTAGCAAAATCGATTGCTTTCGCACAGTACATAGCACCCATTTCTTAGAAAAACGCCACAATTTAAGGCAGAACACTGTGGTCACCCCCTGAGAGGATACGGATGTGTGTGGGGGAGGGAAAAGAACTCATTCCTTCATGTATTATCGCTTCAGCTGACTCCATTTTATCGTACTGACCTTGGTGGTCGTTTCGAGGGATGACCATAAATATTTTTTTGAGCCAGCTAAGCTCTACTTTCATTCACTACATACCAGACAGTTCTTAGAATAACTTCATGAATTCTGTGGTCACCCCTACGACNCATTTAAGATCATTTTAGTGAAAGTTTCATCCTTCAAGGCGTACCATTCACTGCTGAAATACTAAACAACCTGCTTCCATGGCCGAGATACAGGGCGCCCATATTATAAGGTAAGGTTATAAAACCACCATTTAAGATCATTTTAGTGAAAGTTTCATGTTCCTATCTCATAGAATTTAAGAACAATGATGAATAAATAATTTTCGAGCAAAATTTAAATGGCCGGCTGAATATATTACCGCAGGAGCCGCGGCCGCGGAATTTAAATGACCACGTCAAAGGGTTAACCCTTCAGTGCCGGGCTCCGTATCTGGCACACCAAGGGCGTTTGTCACATTTTGCCGGGCTCCGTACCCTGCACGCGTATTGCAGCTCTAAGTTTCAGCTTGTATTTTGAACCATTGTTTTTCATGTAAAGTAATTCTTTTGGTATGAAATTAAAGAGGAAATTTCAGGCTATCATTTCGCATATTCATTGTCCCACTTTGAACTTCCTGTGGGAGTTGTAATACATTTGAATTCTTTGAAAAAGTTTTCTACTTCAACACTTGGTGTGCTTGTTACCATACAAACCTACCTCTGCCTAGGGGAATTCTTATGAACTAAATATTGTGACATGTTGTGCAAAGGAGGACAACCCCTCCCCCCCAGCAGTGACGTGGAGGGTGAGTCAGCACTCCATCACCCCCCTCCGTGCTGTGACATAGCCACCCCCGCACTGTGATGTGGCACAGCTTCCCTCTGTGACGCGGCACCGCAATGCAACGCAACGCCGCTGTTGACACGGGCAACAGGCAACAGCGAACGGAATAAAAGCCGGCTGGGCAGCAAGCGAGAGTTAGTGTGTGATCAACAGTTCCCAAGGCAGCAGCCTACGAGTTGAGTTGGAATCTTGCCAGCGGCGAGTTACGAGTTATTGTGTGATAATCGGTGACAGTTTGTGATAACAGAGAATTAATTGGGAGTGTGTTACAGGGAGACCTGTATAGCTCCCGTATCATAATTAATACGTGTAGACTACTGAGTACTGAGGACAGAGTGAATTGATTATTGCAAATAGGGTTATAAAGTGTGAAACCCCGCAACAGTGTTGTAATTAATTGTAGCCAATACTTGTAGGTTGTTAAATAAACCAATTAACAATCAGAATGGCGTCTTCAGTGAACTCAAAACATGTTACAATATGTTAGATCGATACTGTGTGCTATCCTCTAAGCTGATCGAATGAAAAGTTGATTCTCTTGAGGCATATTCTGAACTGTGCTGCTTCAACACTGGTATATGTATTATTTTTTTATTGCTAGTGGGGTGGGATTAAGTCCCTTGTATTGCGGCCACTTCTGGCCTATTGTACTAGCCCCAAATGATAGGTGAGGATGATTGTGGAGCAATTGGTGGAATGAAGATTGGCAAAGTACCTGGAGAAAACCTGCCCCAGCGCCACTTCGTCCACCAAAAATCCCACTTGACCAGACCCAGGATTGAAACTACGAGAAGACACGTGGAGAATCTACGACTTTTGAGATGTGATGTTGACTCTAAGAAGAGTGTTATGACTGCTACATAGCAAATGATAAACAGTTCACTATATGAATGATAACTACTCTAATTCCCCTATGTTCTATAAATATGCATCATGCAGTCTGGTTAGCCAAGGCCAGCTGCAAGGAATGAAGTGGCAAGCTGTGTTGTCATGACCAGTGGAGAATATGTTTACTTCAAACCGAATCAGAACAAAGTTTTATCAGATTTGGAATTAGACACTGAAAATGGAAGTTAGTGCTTTTCTCAATTCTGTGGTAAATGACAGAATCGAGAATAGCACAAACATCCTTTGGGAGAATATGCAAAACTATAAGGGACAAAAAGGAAATTACTGAATGTGATGATAATATGTAGGAATAATATAAGGAAAAGAATAGATCAGTTGTCAATCAGAATTCAGTTAATTGAGGGACTCTCTGTGAAATATGCTAATGCTGTAGAACATAAAGTGCCGGGTCGACATTCGTCAGACAAACAGTGCCCTTTCTAAGAGAAAGAAATTTAAAAGCAAGATTCCACCAACTGCGAAGATATAAAAATCACAGAAACAGTGTGTTGTGTGTCAAAAACTGTCTACTGGTGTGACACGGGACCCTGTGTGGAATGTTTTCACCACTAACACACCCAGCTGAACTTCTAAGGTAATGTGATATTATCATTCATAATTTTTATAGGCTAATTGTGCCAAAAAATAATTTTAAAGCAGTGTTGATCAATACGCTGATTTTATATACATTTCTGAATGTAGTGTGAAATTAGAAAAACAAAACACCAGTTCTTCCCAATTTAATACACTTTAAGTGAAATGTTGCACTCTCCAATTTAAATATTTAAATATCCTCTGGCATAGGCGTTGAGTAGGAATTTAAATGCCCGCCGGCGATGAAGGGTTAAAATACAGCCCTCTGAAGAAATTTCTAAGGAACTCTTCAAAGTCCTATCAGTAAAGTGGAGATATTTCATAAGGACAGAGTGACAGATATGAGTAAAACAAGGCACAATTCTGGATACTTGAGAAATGTGCTAACAGTGGACACACATGAGGTCTGACAATAAATTTCATGAACTTGTCACTATGTGCTTGCCATGGCAGCAACAGACAGAAACCTCAGTATGGTTTGATGACATTGGCATATCAGCATTTCACAGCTGCGTTGTTGTTGTTGATGAACTATGGCAGCCTTTTTCTGAGTGGCATCTATTATAGTCTGAGTGTGTTTTGGTGTGCCATTGCAGAATGTCAGAGCTCAAATCAGAGTAATGAATGAACATTAAATTTCTTGTCAAACTTGGCAAGAATGGAAGCAAAACCCTCCCTGTTCACTGGATTTAGATCCCCATTGACTTTTTTCTGTTCTCGAAGATACAGGAAACATTGAAAGGAAGATATTTTGATGACAATGATGATATCATGAGTAATACAGCGGCAGCTCCAAGGCAATTCCACAAAACCAGTTAAAAATTGTTTTGAAGGGTGGACTAGGTGCTGGCATCGGTGCATAATTTCCAAAGGGGAGTACTTTGAAGGTGACCACAGTGATATTCAGCAGTGAGGTATATAGCACCTTTACTGCAATGAGTTCGTGAACTTTATTGTCAGACCACGTACATACAACTCACCTCCTGTTCAGCCTCTGCTCCAGAGAATGTTACTGGCATAGGATCCTCTTCAACATTTATATCAATCATCTCATTTCCATCATCAGATGTTGGACATGTCTTGGCAATCCAACCAGGTTCAATCTTCAAGGAATCCACACCATTCTGTAAAACCACTGTATCATTACCAATCACAGTTGTGCTCTCTCACATCCTGAGATAAGATATACATTCATTACAACCACTTCACACAGTATCAAGCTGATAACAGCTCTTCTGTGCAGTGAGTGTTGAGCAATGGACATGAAGCTGTCATTCTCAACAAAGACATTATGACAGTGACTCTCACTCAGAACTGGTGGAATCTAGTTCCAAGGAACCTCAACTTCATTCCACCCCACCCAGACACCAATCAAATGTCCCACTTTGAAGGTCTACACAATAATAATTGTCCCGTTGCATGAAAGCCCTTGTGTGGTGACATGTGTGTGTAGCATAGGGGAGGATTTTCATTTGTATGTATGTACAGTCTGTTTCAGTGTAATCATTACCTTGTACTATCTGTACAAATAAAAAACCTCTAAATCAGAGTTCCACCACAATATGGGAAGGAAGGCAAATTCCAGAAAGGCAACTGCCGTATATTCATACTTATATACACTGTATTTTGTTTAATTTATTGAATCTATTATTGTTAAAGGAAAAAACGATTTTCATACTAGTATAAACGTATAACTGCAGGATTCAGAAATTTATTATCTCAGTACAAATATTATGTTTCTGGTCATTATCCATCATCCTGTCCTTGTCTAAAAACACTGTCCTATTTATCTTTCAAAACACAACTCTCTGGAGACTGGATTCTGTCTCCATCTTCAGGTAAAATCTACTTAGTTGGGCCCAATTGACAGAGCTAGTCTGAGTCTCCTGAGTAGGCGTTACCTGAAGACGAAGACAGAATGCTGTCTCTGAAAAGTTGTGTTTTGAAAAATAAAACAGGACGGTGTATTCAGATAAAGACAGGATGGTGGATAATGTCCAGAAACATAATATTTGTACTGAGATAATAAATTGCTTTTAAATCTTAATTTATTTTCTTTTAAACAATCTTACCAGAACATCTTGGCAATAATAGTTACAAGGATATATAAATTTTGTCAACTGTAACATCCTTACCATTTAATTCCTCTGATTTAAAATACAGCACACAGATTCGGTTTTCAAAGACCCTAACCCCAGACATGAACAATTAATTTATGTTCTTCTGTTCTGAGGGGGCATATAACAAGCCCCTACATAAGAGAACGTGACATGCTATTGGCTTTTACATGTTTTGCTAGCAGATGGGAACAAAAATAGGAAGCAATGCCATCTTCATTTCACTGTGAATCCTATCTAATTTTGGGGGCTTAAGACAAATGTGACAGCGACTGTGAATATCGTTGTCTTTTGAGTTGCGTTGTCACACAGTATGGTAGCCAGGTACCAAACCATGTGGCATCATATTCCAGAACACTGTAACCTTCTCACATGAAACTTAAACATGAAACTATGCAAAACGAATCTGGCACTGCATAAGCAATCTGCAACAAAAAGCAGTGATTTAAAGCCATTTCTTACAGAGCCCTTCACAAACTCAGTTCAGCATAGGAGATGTGGAGAGACAATACACAATTCTGGATATCTGTGAAATGTGCCTAATGATGGACATATAGGCATACAACTCACCTCATGTTCATCCTTCATTTCTGGCAATGTTATTAGCAGAGGATCCTCCACCTCTTGAGTATCTGACACTTCAACTTTTATGTCAATGACCTGAGTTCCATCATGAGAAGATGTTGGACATGTTCCATCACTCAATCCAGGTTCAACCTTCAGGAAATCCACACAGTTCTGTAAAACCATTTTACATTTATCAACCATTACTGTGTTGTCATGCTACATGAAATAGGGTACACTTTCATTACAACCATTTTGCAATGTGTGAAGCAGATATTGGATGCTGTGATTTATGAATTGTGGAGATTAGTGATGGTGCTGTAATTGCTTGTATTTCCAAGTCATGTGTATAAGTGGTCAATAAATCCATTCACCCATCCAAACCCCTTCTACAGTCACTCCCAAATTGTCACACCGATAGGAAAATGTTACTATTCTCAGTACTAACTGATATTGCAGGTGCTTTTAAAAGTTTAAAGCTTTTAGCAGGTTGACGTTTCAAAGATATAGTAAATGCTACCATTCACGCCATGTCATGTTGTGGGCATGTAAAAGGGAAGAGATGGAGAGACACAAACATGTCAAGCTTAGGAACTCCGAGATATGATGAGCCTGCTGGACAAATCATATAAACTATTACCTGAAGCTGCAATTCCACTTGAGTTTTCACAACATCAGACTTCGACACAACTGCTTTCACTGAAAACTAATCTTTTTCACTTGTTTCAATCACTTTCACTTTAACGCTGAGATCAAGCACTATATTTTTCTTGGTGGCCATGCCTACCACTAAATATAAATATAAATATCTCAGTGACATGGTTGTTTGCTACATAATAGTAAACATTTCACTAGCAAGTGTGTATGGATGCCATTGTTTGGCGTAGGGTAGATGAGGATTGGATTGTCCAGTGTCGTCCCAACTCTGTTGCTTGGTGTTCACTCACCTACCCCCAAAAGAGACACCTGCTAATGAATAATACAACTGATGGAGTGCAGTGAGACAGGAAGAACAGTATGGGGGAAAACGAAAGAATCAAGCCCTTGGGGTAGGAGTGTTAAGAATAGTTTCTGCTAAATTCTATTATTTGTTTTGTTTCTGTGTGAGAGTGTTTCTTCTTATTTTGGGTGCATTTATGATGACTTTTTACTAAATTCATGGCGCCAAAAGAAATTTCCCACTGTGGGCAGTTTTCTGTTTAATACAGGGTCTTCTGACAACAGTTTTCACTGTAGTATAAACACAGACACACAGAATTCTGAAACTTGTTACCTTTTAAACAGATCTTACTATAACATTTTAGAAATACAGTTCCATAGATATATAAATTTTATCAACAATAGCATCCTCACCATTTAAATCCTCTGATATAAAATTCAATAGCCAACTCCAGCTTTCAAATCCCTACCCAGCTATGCAAAATGGAACTGGTACTGCACAAGCAATGTGCAACAAAATGCACCATTTAGAAGGAATTCTTAGGGAACCCTTCAGCAACTCTGTTCAGCACAGGATATGTGGAAGGACAGATGGAGATAGGAAAGAAAGTACACACTTTGGATACCTGTAAAATGTGCCTAACAAAGGATATGTGGACGTACATCTCACCTCATGTTCAGCCTTTATTTCTGGTAATGTTATTAGCAGAGGATCCTCCACTTCTTGAGTATCTGAGACCTCAACTTTTATGTCAATGACCTGAGTTGCATCGTGAGAAGATGTTGGACATGTTCCATCACTCAATCCAGGATCAACCTTCAGGAAATCCATACAGTTCTGTAAAACCATTTTACCCTTATCAATCATTACAGTGTTGTCGCATTACATTAAACAAGATATACTTTCATTGCAACCATTTTGCAATGTGTGAAGCATATAATGGCAGTTTCATATAGACTTTTTTCTTAGCATCTAATACAACCATAACAATGCAGTGATTTCATGAACTGATATTCACTCAGGTAGTGCAGAAACATCCTGCCCTTTTTGGAACCGAAAGGTTCACTGCTATGTTCACAAGGGTCTGTCACTGGTCCCCATTCTGAATCAGAGGAATCCAGTCCCTACCCTCCTACTTTCTTCTCAATGATCTCTTTTAACATTCCCCTTCCAGCTGTGCATAAATCTCCCACAGGGTATCTTTCCTTCAGAATTTCCAGACAAACTTCGAATGCATTTCTGATCTCTTTCAAATGTCCTATATGACCCTTCCATCTCATCTTCCTTGATTTCATCATCCTGATCTGTGGTTATGAGCACCAATTACAAAGATATATACTATGCATTTGTCTCCTATCTCCTGTAATTCCCTCCCTCTTAGGTTCTCATTTTATCCTCAGCAGTCTGTATGTAAACACTGTCTGTGTTCTTCTTTTATTAAAAGAGCAAGTTCCACAGTGATGGAGAACAATGGATTAGATTACAGTTTTGTTCAGTTCAGTCCTTGTATTTTTATGGTCATTGCCAGAAGCTATGAATGTTTGGACATCAAGCATACTACTATTCCACTGTGCACAAATGCATTGTTTTCTCCATCTTGCACTGATAAACTTGTGTCTTCTCACACTATTTCAGTATGCACGAATGCTGTGCAGCTCTTCCAAACCCACAATCACACTCAATGCAATGAGGCAAAATGCAGACTGAGTGAACTTTTGGCATCCACAGACTTTCATACGGGCATTCTCATTCTGGAACCTTCTGGCCAGCAGCACGTACTGCGCAGTCTGAGAACAGTCTTGGAGCCAATGGTGGGATGTGAAGGCATGCACCACTGGCATCTGACCTGTCTTCCATCTGCACTTGGTCAATGTGGCAACAGGAATAAAAGCATGACTCCTGAAGAAGGGTGATGGCTCCAGGGTGCCTACTGACTCGTGATTACTGAGAAGCACCATCAGAACAAATGGATTACAGACAGTGAACTTATTACTCGTACATGTACACAGAATATAACAAAAAAGAGTCTATTTCCACTTGATCCATGTGTTCCACACCACTAATCAAATGTTCTGTTTTCAAACAATTTGATTGGTTCATATGTTCATTCACATTTCATAATAGAGTAGCTAATTATGTAGTTGTGTACAGATACAGTGCCTTGATTATAACTGACAGACACATAGCAGAAAATGCTCATGATTCATTTTAATGTATTGTCTTTGAATTCACCCCAAGGGATATGGAGGACATAAAAGTAAATTGGGATATCTGGTCAAGACCTGAAATTCATACCGGGTAGCAGTGTGATAGGATATTCTGGACAATTCAAGAAATTCTAATGCAGGTAAGAGAGAGTAGATTTTGAATTCATATAATCCAAATGAAAACATCACACACAAAGTACAGAACATGCATAAGGGGCAGTCAAATGAAAATGGGTCACGATGCATAACTCACCCAAGTTGGTAACACTGGAATTTCCTTATGGTACAAACATCTGGTGGGGACTTGGGAAAGCACAGTGACGTGTCCTTGCACACTAGTCATTTGTTTACTGTGCTGGAAGTAAGGTTATCGCTACGTGCAGTAGTCCAACATCAGTAATGGAGGGGGGTAAAGAAGAACAGCGAAGTGTAGTGCGTTTTTGACTGCTGAAGGAACAGGAGGATGAGAAAGTCATTGGTGCATGACTGTTGTTTACGGTGAACACAGCATGTCACGTTCGCGTGTGCTGGCATGGCATAAGAGATTCCAAGAGGGACGTGTGTCACTGCAAGATGATGCTTGCCCAGGACAGGCTTGTCATCACTCCTGATGTTATTGCTGTGTTGGATGGTCATATCCAGGCAAACCGAAGGATTACTGTGGAAGAAATTAGTCTTTTGATGGGAATAAGTCACGGTTCCATATATGCCATTGTGACGAAACACCTGCTGTACTGCAAAATCTGCGCACAGTGGGTTCCACATCAACTCACGGAGGAACAGAAGACTCAGAGAAGGGCTGCATCACTGGATCACTTGCAATGATACCATGAGGAAGAGTATGTTTTTCTGTCCCATGTTCCCACTGGGTATGAAACTTCGTGCCACCATTTTGAACCTGAGAGCAAACAGCAGAGCCAACAGTGAAAACACGTGAATTCTGCCCCACAGAAGAAATCCAAAGTCTCACACAAAAAAGTGATGACGACGTTCTCCTTCGACTGCAAGGGCCCTCTGCTTGTCAGATTTCTTGAGCATGGGGCCACAATCAGTGCACAGCTCTATGAGGACACTTTGCAGAAACTGAGATGTGCCATAAAGTCAGAATGTCCTGGAATGCTATTGAACGGCATTATCTTTCTTCATGATAATGCGCGCCCCCACACTGTCAACTCTGTGAGGAATATGCTACAGAGATTTGGTTGGGAAGTGCTTCAACATCCCCCTTACAGCCCAGATCTCTCCCCATGTGATTTTCACATTTTAGGAGACCTGAAAAGAGACATTCATTGACATCAGTTTGCATTGGATGAAAACGTGTGTGGCTGGGTAAAGATGTGGTTCCTTAGACAGCCCACATACCTTTCAAGGATGGGATTGACTGTCTTATCTCCCAGTGGGATAAATGTATTAACAGTTTTGGAGATTACTTTTGAGGTAAGAAATGTTCTTTAATATATTTTGGTTTCTGACCCGTTTTCATTTGACTGGCCCTCATATTTTCAATACTGTCAATGAAAGGATCTGCATAATAATCTTATTTTATTTTTCTACACATCACAAATGAGTGACAGGAATTAAAAGACTGACATATAAAATATTCCAATACCATGGTGTCACATAGTATCAGGTTAACTAAAAGCCAGAATAGAAACACAATCAACCATGTGATGCACTCATACCATCCATACAGAATTAAAAAGGTGGAAAATTATATGCCTGTCAAAAAATGAGCATAGTTGGCACTATGCTACAAGCTGGAAAGTTTTGGTTAGTCCTTCCAGCCACACTATGGTCTTGGAATCGACTCAGTGTCTAACAAAAATGTGTACCAGGAATCTTCTTGGGGTGTTAAAGGGCAGCTGGTGCGTAAGGCTGATAATCTTACTGCCATCTGTGAGCTGTGTCTAGAAAATGTGGGAGCCTTGACATCTCACAGCCCTATGGGCCTCCACGGCCTGTTGCACATGCAGCTTTACCTTTCACATTTAAATCCAGAGAAAAATAAAATAAAATAAAAAAGTATCTTTTTTTTTTGCCTGCATAAAAGAACAGGGCACTCACTGTGGTTTCCATTAGAGCAGCATGTATTTCTTCAACCCTCAGTATTACAACTTTGGGAACTCTTGTTGCAAAAGACTGCAGGATCTTCTACAGCCTTTAAACTCATTCATAACACATGATGCTCGCTGGATATTGTAAGAAGGTGGCTTGCAAGTATTCCACTGACACTGTTTGACTTACAATAACCGCATCAAACTTACAAGGTTTGCAAAGATCCTGGAAGAAAATACATTGACTGTAAGTGATGACTGAGTATATATCACATTACATGGAAAAATGTATTTATACTTCTAACAGGCTAAAGAAATTTACTAGGCATTTGAATATACAGTACCTTCATGCAGCTGGTATTAGAACATCCAAGTTCTGAGACTTACTAATACTGAAAGCATGTTCACCACATAGCAGCAACACACATACATTGAGGCTCAAAAGAAACAGTCAAAAGTGTAGACAAATTACAGCAAGCCATGTTGAAACTGCATTGTCCTGCACTCTACTTGAAAACTAAAACATTCCACATGGCAAAGATTACCTACTAGTGGGGCAAGATGAGTATCTTCACAGTAGATGATGAAATTTGTTCCATGAGATGTGTGTATCCACCCAAGATCACAGTATGTTTCTTCAGCCTGGAAACTTCAATTCTTATGAAAGATCTGAGATGTTCTAATTTTGTTTACATCAGATTCATCAGCCTTCAAAGTGCTCAAGTCATCATTGAAATACTTCAGTACATCTACATATAGTCACCTCACAAGCCCCGTCACAGACATATTCTAACATGACAGCGGCCCTCCAATTGTGTCCGGATTATTCAAATGAAAATTGTTCAGTGCTGCTAACAACAGTACTGATCTGGTTAAATGCTGGTGTTCCAGGTGAAAAATCCATTCAAACAGGATCAATGAGCTCTCATTTAGGTCAGGACTCTGTTCTGGGGCCATTGCTCTTTTTGATACATATATAAATGATTTGCCAAATACAATAAATAAAGAATCAAAACCAATTATATTTGCTGATGACACCAGCATATTGGGCTGCAAGTCAAATCTTAAAGAATTTGACACTGCCCTAAAAGAAACTCTTGAATCAATCAATAAATGGTTCTCTATAAACTCGCTAATTTTGAATCTAACTAAAACGAGTTGTGTCCAGTTTTTAACAAAACCAAATGTACTAATAAGCTTAAATATTAAACATGGTGATATCCAAATTAATAATACGAATACCTTCAAATTCCTTGGGCTAACAATTGATAGTACTTTAACATGGAAGGAACATATCAAACAAATAGCCAGCAAATTGAGCTCGGCTTGTTATGCTATAAGAGTTTTAGTCTCAATATTGTCTCTAGAGAGCTTATTGATAACGAAGGGGGACCCAAAAATAACTGGAAACGACCTGTTGCGCGCGCATGCTTTGTAGTTACGAGTTGTGCTGGTAGGTGGTGTTAGCTGGGGGTCCCCTGCGACTGTTAGTGAGTTGGCGTCAGTCTGAGTTAAGTGGTTTGTCTGTGGTGCTCTGTTGTGTGCGTTCCTGTTTCAACCCTTTGGCGATTAGTGAGATGGCCGACCAGAAGGAACAAAGAGTGTGCGTGAAATTTTGCTTTCTGTTAGGGAAAACTGCACTTCACTCTTCAAGTCGCGGCAAACATTCACGCGGTTTTCTCTTTGGTCATCTCCGAGCAAGCGAGGAACAAATTTTCCAGACACCCGTCTCATGTGCAAACCTTTGGTTAAAATTCGCTGGACCGTGCTCCATGAGGTGTTCGTTTCCTCAGAAAGTTGGTCAATGGTCTTTCGACGATCTTCATCAATTTCATGCACACTCTTTGTTTCTTCTGGTCAGCCATCTCACTAATCACCAAAGGGTTGAAACAGGAACGCACACAACAGAGCACCACAGACAAACCACTTAACTCAGACTGACGCCAGCTCACTAACAGTCGCGGGAGACCCCCCGCTAACACCATCTAGCAGCACAACTCGTAACTACAAAGCATGCGCGCGCAACAGGTTGTTTCTGGTTATTTTTGGGTCCCCCCTCGTATAATGCCTACGTTCATTCTATAATGTCATATGGCATAATATTCTGGGAAAATTCAACATATAGTACACAAATATTTAAAATTCAGAAAAGAATAATTATGGCAATAACGAAAGCATGAAATAGGGACACTTGTCGGCCTTTATTTAGGAAATTAAACATTCTTCCTTTTTATTCACAGTATATATTTTCAGTATTGGTCTTCATAGTTAAAAACATAGACAAGTAAGTAGCAAATTCACATATTCATAACATTTATATGAGACAAAGATATGAACTACATTATCCAACTTATAAATCAACCAGGGCTCAAAAGGGAGTATCTTACACTGGAATTAGAATATTTAACAAATTACCACATAGTATAAACATTTTTATGCAAGATTTAAATAAATTCAAATATTCCCTTAAAAAATTTTTGCAAGTGGGCTCTTTTTACTCTCTAGACGAGTATTATGAATGGGAAACACGAGATGATTGTGTTAATTATAGATAAGTGAATCAACAGTAGTCATTTTTAAAACTTCTATTGCAGGATACCTATACTTTTTTAGTTATGATTTTACTCTGTAATAGACAATGTTAATATGTATTTTACTGTGATAATAAGTTGCAGTGCAAGTTACATGCATGTTGTATTTAATTATTTAATTGTAGGTGGCCTCTTTTTATTTTTTAGGTGAGTGTTATGAATGGAAAATAAGGGATGTTTGTGCTAATTACTGATAAATAAAACTACACTAGTCATTTTTTAAATTTTTATTGTATGCCCATAACTCTTTGGATATGATTTTGCTCTGTTATTGACAATGTTGATATGTATTTTGTTATGATAATAAGTTGCAGTCCGAGTGTTATATGCATGCTGTGTTTAGTTATAGCATTGTATCATCAGTTATTGCAACAATGGTTGTGGATGTTGTAATATCTTAATGACGTTGTCCTCTGGATTGATTTTATTGTAAATAGGGCTTGGACATATTCTATATCTGGTGGCGCCATTGCCAAATGTAGATTTGATGAACAAAAATAAACTGAATTGAATTGAAAAAAACAATGTGAATTCACTGCATAACATATGCCATGTACAGAAGTGCATATGTCTCAAAGACAACACTTGTGGAATAGTATTTAAAATTCTGTTCAGGGTGGCTGGGGACACACACTTTTCTTCGAGGGAAGCTGTTTGTACAGCCCCATAAAATACAGACCTGTCACTTCCAAATATTTGGTTGCCCTCTAAAAGCACACGACTTCCCTTCAGTTGGGTCAGATAAAGATGTCAAAAGCAATAGTTCGCAGCAGCATCTCAGGGAATTTTTTACACAAAGGATGCACTGGCTAGTGTCTCAAAAAGATGCAAGCCTCCATGCTTATGGAAACTATTCTTAATGTGCACTACATCCCCCCCCCCAACAATCCCCAAAGTATTTTCATTTGAATAAGCCTCATATTTCACAGTCAACAAAGTCCACCAATTTACTATATTCCAATGACAACTTACAAGTTAAACAATAATAATTTTGATAATATATGAAGAGATCTCTGGGATATAATGCCATATTGTCCACTGAATATCAAAAAAATGTTTTGGAGGAACACGTTGCCTCCATCTTCAGTGTTGAAGAATAAGCCAAGCAAAGTAACCTGGATGAAAGCAGGTGGGAAGCAGGCTACCCACTTTGAAGCTGGTTTCTTGCTAGGCTTATTCTTTGACCCTGAAGATGAATGTGACAAGTTTCTCTGAAACATTGGTTAACTGAAAGATAGTTGATAAATTAAGGTACACATATTTCCTAATATTAAACACATGTAGCTAAATCACAGATAAAAAGTTACTCTTATATGTGGAATGACAATTTACCTGTATCACTTTTGGATGCTATTAATGCTTAGTGAATTTCTTGTGACAGGACCATATAATAGTAGATACAAGGTCTGACAATAAAGTCTGCAAACTCACACCATGTGCTTCCCATGGCAGCAGTGGACAGAAACCCCAGTATGGTTTGATGACATTGGCATATCAGCGTTTCACAGCTGTGTTGTTGATCTTTGGTAGCCTCTTTCTGAGTGCCGTCTATTTTTTACGAGTGTTTTGGTGTGCTGTCGTGAGAATGCTGGGAGCTTCAATTAGATCACTGCCTGTAAGGAAGTTTTCAGCTAGTAAACAAATAACTGGGCTAGAACACCCTCCATATTCACTGGATCCAACCCCCAATGGATTTTTTCTGTTCCCAAAGATAGAGGAAATATTGAAAGGAAGGCATTTTGATGACACTTATGACATCAGGAGTAATATGACAGCAGCTCTGAAGGCCGTTCCACAAAACCAGTTTCAAAATTTTTTTTGAAGGGTGGGTGCATAGCTTCCCAAGGGGAGTACTTTGAAGGAGACTACAGTGATATTCAGCAATGAGGTATGCAACACTTTTACCGCAATGAGTTTGTTAACTTTGTCGTCAGACCATGTATATACATTTCCAAAGGTGGTCCGATTGGTACTGATAATTATGTAAACTGGATCAAATCTCTGATATATTAGGCTCTGTTTACTGCAACAAACGTACATTCATGAAGGTGGCAGAATTCTTTAACACAAAAAACTTCATAACATCTTAAAGATCAAAACTTCACATAAATTTAAACACAAATTTATGTCTTCTTCATTTTGTGATTTTTATTTTGAATTTATGTTTCTTTCCAGTTTGAATCTTATACCTATAACTCTGGTGTCATTTTGTAATGAATACATGTTTGAAAAACTTTTATTCGTTCCTGTTCCCAATACACTTGGTCGTCGACTTACGACCACAAAAAAAAAGATGATTAAAATGTAAAAGTTTTTAAAAATAAATTATAAAGTTGATAAAAACTGTTAATAAATATATGGCCGACATGCGACCTCTCAGTCAGAACGGAAGTCGATGATCCATTGCATTTCTATAGGTATACCGCCTCTACACCTCTCCTTGCGTACACTGGTTCACTCATACTGCTCATACTTTCCCATTTGTTTTGCTTTATCACTTCCGGTCTGGAAAACCGATATTAACGGCCGTGGGGATTCGTTGCACTGACCACGCGACACCCTCTATCCGCAAAAGTTGGCACTAAACTTCGCCGACAAGCGGTGGTCCCTCGGGTCCTTGCGGACTAAAATCACGGAGTTCTTTTTTATCACTTCCAGGCACTGCAAATTCCTTTACTATCACTTATCTACTCGTATATGTCATGTGTACAGTTTTCTGAATTCCTGGCGTAAAGCCAGAAAGAATTTGTCAACTCTTCACTTGGTATAACTTCGATGCCAGTGCTTTACTGTTTTGTGAGATATCATATAATAATAATAGTGTGAAACAGTTCAATATATTTCAATCAGCAGCGGTGCATCCGACACTAAAAAATGTAAAAAAACACCTTGCTAACAGGCTGCGGCGGACTTGAATTTATGTACGTAATAACAACGTGATGATTGTTCAGTGGGACCGAATCATGAAAGTCGAAAACGGTATCAACAAGTATTACTACTTTCTTGATTGTGTGGAGTTATATAATAATAACAGCAATATATGCAAACAGGATGCTACTTAGTAGAAGAAACTTGTATCACTGTAAACAACTGTTATAATACTACACAACCTTGCAACGCACAGAAATATCAGGCACAGTTACCGTTTCGAAACGTTCCGCTAGTCAGACACATGTGCGATTATTAACATATGTACCTTGATTTATACCCAAACTTCTCGTGTCTAATTCAACAACTAACGACAACTACGTTCTCACGCATGTGCATAACCTCAACTGATGCGCCGCCGACTCTCATTTGAACCATTTGAATAACACTGGCTTGTTTTCACGTAGGCCTGTAAATACGGTCAATGTCAATACCACTGTCGCTACCGGTCGCTACGGTCGCTAGTTGGCGTCGATAGAGCGCAAGAAGCCACATTGGTGAAACGAGAAGAGTAATAAATGTATGCATTAAGCACAAATATAACCTCACACAGGGTTTGCTTGAAAAATCGAAATTAGCCAAATATGCGTACGAGGTAGGCCACAAAATATGTTGGAATGAAGGGAAGGTCTTGCAGATCGAGTCCAACACCACACAAAAGAAATACAAGAAATCATCCCACATGTCTCTGCTGGACCATCCCATCACTCACCCTATTGTGAACATCTCTCCCGATATCTCCTATCTGGAGCCCCGTTATCACAGCAGAAGTAAAGAAATTACATCTCCGTCAAGTGTAGTATAGGCCGTGTCATAGCTCAAGCTGTTAGTCGCTGGCTTTCGACCGCGGCGGTCCGGGTTCGAGCCCGTGTCTGGCCAAGTGGGATTTTCCGTTTGTGCTGTGTTCGGCTTACATACCCTATCTCGATGCTGGCTATGGTGTACGGAGATAGGGACTAGCTCCAGCAAGTGGGCTCAATTGAGTAGTTTGATTTGTCTCATTCTGGTCCGTCACACTATTAATTACAAAGTGGATAATTTTCAGTCCAGTGTGACATAGAAGTTTACAACACTTCAGTCTTCATTCACATCACATGTTTCGATTCAAAAGAATCATCCTCAGAGGCGCACCACTACGATCAGGAAACACTGTCACATAAGATGTTTTAACAATATGCACCTAAGCTATGAATAATGCTCACTATATAAATTTTGTCACTATCACAGTTAGTTTTAATGTTTGTCCTAGGCATTCACGATGACGCTTCTTGAAGAGTAGATTTACGTATGATGCTGTTTCTTTTAAGCGTATTTGCTGGGTATTCTGATTGGGATTTTCCACTGCACGCGATATGATGTTCACTTTTCCATACAGTAGCCTCCCAATGTATTTAAAATTGTATTAAAATTTCCATTTGTATGTAAAAAATTAGTTATTATGTTAAAATATCGTGAGCCAACATTGGGTCATGTTGTTTTCCTCCTGATGGTGGGAGATGTCGTTTATTTCTCTTGATTGTATGTTCTTATTATTAGTCATGTAGTTTACGTGCGTGCTGTGTCGTTTGTACTGTTGTGAATAGTCAGAGTCAGAGTCACGTTGCAACTGACGGTCAGTCAGTCTGTCTGTCTTGGTGTCGAGCCCCAGCTGGGGCTCATGACCAGATATTTCTCTTGAGTGAACGTTACCGTCTTGTCCATGTGTAGCGCCCTCTCTGACGAGAGGTCGGGTCTGTCATTTGTTAGTCGGTCTGTAGTAATTTGTCCATTGTCTGTATTTACACATATTTACAGTATACCTATTTCTTGTATAAATGTACAATATTTACACGGCCTCTCAGTCCAGGCTAGGTACAGCAGATTATGCCCTTTTATATACATAT